GGAAGTGTCACCTCCTTGGACCTATTCGTCATGCATCTGCTGATGCACGATAAAGTGCCATTGGCTTTTCTGATGGCTTCGTCACACTGCCGACTCATGTTCATCTTGGAGTCCACTAGGACTCCAAGATCCCTTTCCACTTCCGTGCCACCCAGCAGGTCATTCCCTAGGCTGTAGGTGTGCTGGACATTTTTCCTCCCTAGGTGCAGCACTTTGCATTTCTCCTTGTTGAACTGCATTCTGTTGTTTTCTGCCCATATGTCCAACCTGTCCAGGTCTGCTTGTATTTGTTCCCTGCCCTCCTGCGTGTCCACTTCTCCCCACAGTTTTGTGTCATCTGCAAACTTGGACAGAGTACACTTTGCTCCCTCATCCAAGTCACTGATGAAGATATTGAAGAGATATTCATTAATTTGATTAAAAAAAATATTTTTGTCCTGATTTCAATGTTTTTGTAGTATACATAGAAGTGATTGTATATTAGCTTAAAATGAAATCTTACTCTTGTATATTGTAGGGGAGGGTGAGTATAGGTTTGTGGGGGCTGTGGATGTATGTGGGGGTAGAGGTGTGGATGTATGTGGGGTGTGGGGGGCTGTACATATGTGTGGATATGTGTGTGGGGTTTGTGGGGGGTTGTGTGTGTGGAGGGAGAGGGTGGCTGGTGGGTGTCTGTGTGTGTGTGTGTGTGTGTGTGTATGGTGGTCTGAGGGGGAGTGTGGGTACATGTGTATGGTGAGGTGTGCATGTGAGACACCCCTACAAACACATACCCCCTCCCTCATTACCCACAGACCCTGCCACGAACAGCAGCAGCTGGCAGTGAGGACTCGGGGCACTCACAGGCCACAGCAGGCAGAGCCCCTATCAGCCCAGACTCCACACTACTGTTGCCCCTGGCCCCAGGACACTGACACGGGCCCCACACTCCTGCCCACCCACTTGCTGCCACTACTCTTCCACCTCCTGCCACCACTGCCCTTCTCCTGATGCTTTCCTACCTTCCCACCCACCGCTGAGGCTGCAGAACACAAAATGAGCCAGCCCAGCCTAGCCAGTACTGCATGGACACAGCTGGGAATTGCGGGGACCAAGCCAAGATGGCTCCTGCTGCATTCTGTGGTCTCAGCCATGCAGCCAGGAACCACATAGTGCTGGAGCAGCAAGAGAGTGTGTAGGGGTATGTGGAGAAGAGGCAGCAGCAGTCATAGCAGGCAGGGAGGGAGAAGTGGCAGGTGGGCAGGAGTATAGCAATAGCTGGGCAGGAGCATGGGGCATGTGCCAGCGCCCCAAAGCCAAAGCTGGCAGGGATCCAGGGTGGGGCAGCAGGAACACGGGGCCCAAGATGGCAGGGGCCCCATGGAGCTGGGCCAGCTTCCCCTCTCCCTGATGGTGCAGCCTGACCCAACTTCATACAGCTCCTGCTAGCCCAGGTTCCACACTCCTGCCGCCCTGCCCTACACCCACACTGGCTCTGGCCCCGAGGTACTGGTGCAGGTCCCATGCTCCTGCCCAGCTGTTCCTGAACTCCCACCTGCCTGCTTGCTGCCACCACCACTTCCTGCCAGCAGCCGCCAATCCATCCGACTCCGCTGCCTGCTGCTGTGGCACCACATGGTTTCCGGCTGCATGGCCAGAAACCAGCCCAGCCCCTCCCCTTGTCTGTAGCTGAGTTTGACCTCCTGGACAGAGGGAGGGTGGGAGAACAGCCCCGGGGTCGCTAGCCCAGAAGCCTCTGCTAGGCAGAGGATTCCAGTTGGGGGCTGGAGATGAGGCAGGGCCAGGTGGGCCTTGCTGCTGAGTCCTGCTGTCCCTGGGTCTTGCCGCCAGCTCCTCCTGGGTCCTGCAACCGCTGGCATCTTAGACAGGTAGCCACAGGCAGATAACAATTTTTAAAACTTTTTAGAGGCCTTGCAGGCCAGATAAAATGGCTAGAGGGTCAGATACAGCCCATGGACTATATTTTGGCCTCCCCTGATCCATACAATACCCTGGAATAATCTGGGCAAAACAAATCAAAGATAAACCTCAGCTGTAGCTGTAGTGGCATATCTCTGAAACATTTGGAGCACCTATACATGAGCAAAGAGGCTGCTCCGATGCGCTCTAATTACAGCATGTTGTAGCATACTCAATTTATCAAGTCTGCTGGAGCATGGTAATTACCATGCTCCAAAAGACTCCAGTGTCATATGTATTAGTGTCCCCCAGCTGAAAAGTGGTTGGCGTGGGTGTTTTAACTAAAGTTTGTTTGATGAGCTTTAGTTAAAATGGCCCCGTCACCAATTTTCAGCACAAGGACACTGACACAGGTGACACTCCAGATGCTTTAATTAGAACGGCTCTCGGAGCCACTCTACTTAAAGCACCCCCCTCCCCACACACACACACACACACACACACACACACACACACTCCCATATCACGAGTATAAATGCCCTTAGAGGGTACTTATGGTGTCTTAACACCCCTTAATTAATGACTGCTCTCATTTTAAATGCCTTTATGACATGTTAAAGGTAACCTGTGCCAAAGCCCTAAAAGAATCAGTCATTCCCCCTCCTTCTCACCCATATGGAAAGAGAAAAGAGAGTGCTGGAGGACTAGAAGACCCAACTACAGAACTACATGCAACTGTCATATGGTGCAACAAAACACAGGTCTAGAGAGAAATTCCTCTTTGAAAGGGGAACGTTTTCCTGGTGGATCTACCATTTTTGTGTCTCTACAGTTCAGGGGTAGGCAATTATTTGGGCTGGAAAGCCACTGAAGAAGATTTGGTGAGCTGTTATGGGCTGGGTCATCATCCCCCCTCCCCCTCCATGACAGCTTACCAAAACTCCGTAAGTGGCTGGGCCCTGGAGCCCAGCCCCATGCTGTCACTGTCTGGAGATTCTGGTCCCAGTCCTAGAGTCTCCACGGAGACCCGCCCAGGACCCATGCAGGAAAGGCACACTCACCCAGGTGGATGGGATGGAGCCACCCAGGGCTGGAGCCAGGATCTTGGGGCAGTGACAGCATGGGGCTGGGGCCTGGGGCAGAGCTGTAATCCACTCCCAGCGTGACCCTACCTGCGGAACCATCACCCAACGCAGGGACATGTGGGCAGTGGATTGTGGCTCTGCTCCAGGCTCCACACTGTCACTGCCACAAGGTCCCAGCCCCATGTGTCCTGTTCCCAGACACCACTCCCCACCCACCCACAGCTCCATTCTATCCATTCAGCTGAGTGCACCATACCTGCACAAGTCCTGGGTTGGTGTCCATGGAGAATCCACCTGCCCGCTCTATCCAGGACCCCTGGTGGTGGGTGCAAGACAGACAGGCCAAGGTGCCTGGGCAGCGGGGCTGTGTCTGGAGGCACCAGTGATGCTAGCAGTGGCAGCCGCAAGGAATCGCCACCACCAGGACTGCTGGAAAGCTGAGACCAGCTGCCATGACACCCCAGACCCACTGCACACCCGAGGGCAACGGGATGGCTGCATGCACCACAGCCCAGGCTGTCCCCTGCACCTTGGCTGGGTGGGGCTGAGACACCTGTCATAAGCCAGATAAAATCCCTTGGTAGGCCAGATTCGACCCATGAGCCGTATTTTGCCCACCCCTGCTATAGTTGTTGTGAATACACAGACACCCCGTTTTTGTAACATTATGGATTTAACATATGTTCACAGCTTCAGAGTTCATCCTAAAATGTCTTTTTTGGGAATATTTACTACCTTAAGTTATACAGTAATTAAAATTTCTACTTTATTTTCCATCATCCATTAGAAGACTCTTCTCATTAACATAAAAGAGTCTTTAATGAGGATAGCATCAAATTTCCTGGAAACTGATTAAAATAAGATTCTCCAGTGTTCATCTACCAAATACAAACTTCCAAAGGAACAAGTAAATGAAAACCAAAATAACATAGTGTTTTTCATCACTAAAAGGCTAATACTGTGATTACAGGGATTAGAGATAAAGTAAGATTAATAACATAAAAACAAATTGACTGAAAGTTAGAATTCTGTTCCAAAGTCCACTGCTGCTAATTGGAATGTCTAAGTACAGTACTCAGATACTGTTGGGATGTGTGGCCTTTGAAAATCCATAAGAAAGGCAGTTATTGAAGGAACACCTACCTTTCTAGCAATTGTATTATATCTTGATACTTCTGTTTCATTCTTTTTCCTTCAACAGATTCCATGCATCTGTAAACACAATTGAATACAAGAAGTGTTATACACTGAAAGAAAACTGCAGCTTAGCTAAGCACTTTAAACAGTTTTTTAAAACTTTGGGAATTCTGTAAAAGAGAATTTCATGCCTTCACATTTAACATTTAAAGATACATCTATGTAGCTGTAATCTCAAAGACTGAAATGCAAGCACATTCAAGCTCTGCAGGCAGTGCAACTGTAATATTATTAATAATAATTGGTTATGTTTCTATCCTCTCTTAACTGTTTCAATATTGTTAACCAAGTTGGAGTTGCAGACACTGAAAGATAGGTTTACAATTCAAAATGACTGTAATAAACTGGAGAAATGTTCCAGAATTCAATCAAATAAAGACAAGTGCACAGCCCTGACTTGGGACAGAAAAGAACCAAGCACAGATCAAAACCAGGAATGACTGGTTAGTCTACAGTACTACAGAAAAGGAACTGGGCCATAAGTTAGATATGAGCTAAAAGTGTACTTCTTTTGCAAAAAGAGCCAACAGCATAGTGAGCTGTATTAATCAACATGATTTTCAAATAAAGGGAGGTGATTTTCCCACTATTCAACACTAGTGAGGCCTGACCCAGAGGACTGTGTCCAATGTTTGGGTATCATTTTTCAAGAAAGATATGAATAAATTAGAGTGTCCAGAGAACAACAATAACAGCAGCAGCAGCAACAAAAATGATTAGATATCTAAAAAGCATAACCTATTAAAGAAAGATTAAAAGAACTGGTATTATTTAGTCTGGGGAAAAGAAAACTGAGGTGAGACTTGATATGTCTTCAAATACCTGTAGGAATACCATACATTAAATGGTGATAGACCATTCTCTGCAGCCACCAAGTATAGGACTAGGAGAAAGCATGTCAAATTGCAGAAGGGGAAATTTAGGTTGAATATTAAGAACTTTCTAACTATGAGTACAATTAAGCATTGGAATAGGCTACCCACAAAGGCTATTCAATCTCCATTCTTGGAAATTTCTAAGGATAGGTTAGACAAACAATTCTCTACAACACTTTAGACAGGGATGACTCTACTCTGAGTCAGAGGTTGGACATGAGGTCCCTTCCAGCCCTGTTTTTCTATCAATAACTGCTCAGGTTTAAGTTAAATACATTTACATACTGAACAGCAGTGTTAAAGCACCTGGTCTAATAGAGTTTTGCAGTTTAGAAAGGCTAAGTTTTGAGCTGGTCTAATAAAAGATATCATATTTACTCAAAGAACCTTGCCTGCCTGTATCCTTAGACCAACACGGTTACAACCCACACTCCTGCAGCTTAGAAAAGCTTTCGAGTCCTGAACTCTTGTCTGTTTGCATGCCCCTGCAAAAATGGGAATACTCTGCAATGTTCACAAATTTCCTCAGCTCCTTCTGAGCTTGACCATATTTAAGTGATGTACTTGTAACCTCCTTGTACTATATGAGGGAACTTTTGAAAATACATCCATCTTGGGAAGGTAAGTGAGTCCCTCTTAAGAATGCATAATGGGAAATGGTGGTGGCTGACAGCCACGTTGAGTGTACCACTGAGCTGGAAAGGGTGGACACTATCCTAGCAACCAGGGTGGAGGGTGTGTGGTAGCTGGGCCCAAAGGGGAGTGTTTGGAGAGAACTCTCTGTGAACAGGAGTAGGGTCTGGTAGACTGGAAGGGACGGTCATATTAAAAACACTGATCAGGGCTGGGTGAGCTTTGGTTCTCGCTGGCAGATGACTTTTCAGGGAATTCAGATGACTTTTCTTTCAACCAGAGTAAAGTCTGTCCTTCACTGAGAGCCTGCTGAGGGAATGGGAAAAAAAGCCCACAGATCAAAACAAAACAAGCACACTGAGTTCATCCAGAGGCTCCAGAGATGGTGGATTCAATCTATGCTAAATTGATTCAAGAATAAAAGGAGTATCAGGGACCTTGAAGCTGCTAAGCAGTTTATTCACTACCAAACAGCAGTACAGTGTGCATGCACACATAACACACAGTGGTTTTTAGTGTTTTTCTTTCATTTATTGTTTGTTATCCATTGGTTACTGTAGAAGAAAGATAAATTTGGACTTTCTCCTCATAGAATAATAATGAATAAAAATTTTGATGTTAAGTATCCCATGTGTTGCTGGGGCATGCACAGGCACTTGGTATTGCATATTCCTTACATATTCACCCAGCTCTGCATTTTTAAAAATTCTGGATCACTTTATCAAACAGGGGCAGGTTTTGTAAGTAATTCTTTTAATGTGGAACTTATAATTTAGCCTCTCCCTTTGTTTAGCTCATATTTACATTTTTGCAAGCTCTGAAAATTAATTTTTATAGTTTTACCTTTGTTAATCTACACCGGGGTAGGCAAAATGCACCCCGGGGGCCAGATGTGACCTGCCAAGCGATTCTAACTGGCCCACGAGATCCCTAAAAAAATTTAGAAAATTAATATTAATCTGTCCTGGGCTGCCTGTCATGCAGCCCTCGATGGCTTGCCAAAATTCAATAAGCTGCCCTTCGCCCAAAATAATCACCCGCCCCTAATCTAGACAGCCAAAAAAAAGTGAGGTGGGGTAAAAATTCACAAGTTTTATATTTAAGAATTACTGAGTTGTACATTGATTCACGGATTGCCTTCAAACTTTAAAACAAAAGTATTATACCCTAAAAGTGAATCCCAAACTACTTTCCAGAAAGGAAACCTACATCAGAGATGTACAGTAAAATCTAATCTATGCATCTGTGCTCCAGCCAGGGGTCACTTGAGTGCAGTTGTCCTGATATTGAGAATCAATTGCTGAGGTCTAGTAGGTAGAGAAGATTAATAGCTGCATAGCTGTACTGAGTGGAATTGCAATAATGCTGCACCCTTCCCCTCTTTACTTGGAGTTACTGTTCTGTTGTTTGTCCTGGAGTAAGCTTATTCCCCCTAGAGAAGCAAACATTACATGGTGGGAGCATGAGGCTCATAATGGAAAACCTGAGGACAAAACTGAGAACAAGTTCTGCGTGATTCACAAAGAAACCAGATATGAGCTTTGGCTCTAGGCACTTGGGATCCTGCCTATCAGATATTAGTTCCAGAACAATTCACCTTTGAGGCAGGTAAGAACTGAACAGAATGGAAGACAAAGATTTGAATGATTTAGGTGAGCTTCCATCCTGAAAAACAACCCAGAGCAGGAGTTTATCAACTCCTGTATCTCTTATTGGGTCACAAACTGAAGACATTATGCTGTCATTTAGCCTAACTTCTGAAAAAGCTAAGGGCTTTGTTATATGGTAACTCTGAGCATACCCCTGGATTGTCTGCACAGTAACGCCTGAAATTGGTTTTAAGCACTCCATATGTTCTTATAACAGACATCATGGGGTGCAAGAACTTCCTGAACTCTAGGTTAGTCTGTCAGTTAGGATCATTAAAATGGACAGATCAAAGAGAGGCATCTCTCTCATCTACAAAGCGGAGAGTGGAGAAAACACTTTGGAATGTGCATAAGCAGGAGGAGTAGGAATGTGACAGGGTGGTCTGTCCCTTGAAGAAGGAACAGTCTGCCCTGTTGAGAAAGCACAACTGCAGAGCATTTGGATAAAGAGGGAGTAACTTCTGGGAGCATTAAAAGCTCTCAGAAGAGGAGGAGGAAGTAAGCTATGAGTGGAACAGCATGTTGCAAGGAGGGGCCAAAGCAAAACAGGTTCACCTCCTTGTATTTGGGAAAGAAGAGAAGGATTTTGTTTTCTTTGTTTGTTTAAAAGACTGCTTTGCTTGGCAGGCCTGGCTGAGGAGCTTCTCAGGGAGCAAACCTGCCTGAAGAAGGGAGCAAGCTAAGCAACCCACTTACAAGGTCTTACATGAGAGAGCCAATGTTGCCCCACATCAGGACAGGAGGATAGAGCATTGCAGGATTACATTAGGAAAACTACCTGCATTAGTACATACATACACAATAACAAATACTGCAGTGTCTCAAACTGAACAGACAGCAGAAACATTCACAAGTGTTAGAACCAGCATGCTGAAAACATGTATGAGATACCAGATACTTTTGTATATGGACATATGTAAGTAGATGCATGCATTCACTGTGCAGAGACAATAGAATAGCAAATGGTTCATAAGCACCAGAAAAGCCACTTATGCAGCTGGGTTAATGCCATTTAGGTAAATAAAGGAAAACAGAAATCTACCAAATGGGCACGTCTACACGTGTATTTATGCACACCTAAACTTAATACGCCTTTAGTTAAGGTGCATTAAGGCATGCATCTACCCATGGGAATGCTAATGTGCATTAACGAGCATTAAATTTAGGTGCGAATAGCTACATTGAGTTAGTGTACATGCAGATGCACTAATGCACATAGATGCAGTGTGTGTGTATCCATTGACGCACACCGCACTAATGAGCATAAGCACATCTACACTTGTGCTAATACGACTTAGCTAGTGGCACCTAAATTGGATACCTGCTTTATGCAGGCAATTATTTTGTGTGGAGGGCCGCTTACCGAGTTTTGCCAAGCCATCGGGGGCCACATGACAGGCAGTCAGGGGCAGATAAATATAAATTTTCTAAATTTTTTTTAGGGGCCCCGCAGACCAGATAGAAAGGCCTGGTGGGCTGCATCCAGCCCGCGGACTGCATCTTGCCCACCCCTGATTTATAAGGTGCATTAAGGGTGCACACATGTAAACATCTAGGATCTGGAACCAACTTCCAAGGGAAGTAGTGCTGACTCCTACCTTGGGGGTCTTTAAGAGGAGTCTTGATGATTACCTAGTTGGGGTCATTTGAGCCCAGTTTTCTCTCCTGCCCAGGTCAGGGTGTCAGACTAGAAGATCTGCAAGGTCCCTTCCGACCCTACAACTATGAATCTATGCACCCTTAATGCGCCTTAAAAATGGCAATTCTAGCCTAAGCGCGCTTAAAAGAGGCATGTGTAGACACGCCCAATGTGTCCTAAAGACACTTTCCTGGTAAGGTAAATTCAGGTCTCAAGGGCATCTGGGCCTGCAGGATGCTAGTTTTAGAGCAAACTGGCTGCTAGTAACTCAGATGAGATTGCAAGTACTGATTTTTGTTCCTGTGGATTTTCTTTCTTCAAAAATTTTCAGATTTTATGAAAAATATTTTAGGTTTGGAGTTTTCAATGAAAACATGAACATTTTTGTACAGGAGCAGACAAATTTTCATGCAGAGTACTAGTGAACTGAAAAGCCATTCCCCATCATACACATCCTTCACAGGAAGTTTGCAAAGAACACTGTAGTCACCCTACAGTAATGATATTGACATATAAACATCACTAGGTCAGATCTCAGCAACGTGCAGATCTTATCCTATTTCCAGTAGCCTAACCCAGCCTGTCTTCCTCCCTTTTTAAATCTTGTTTTTTAATTCTTTCAAGCTTCAAATATCCTCTCACCCACAACTGGAGGGCAGGTTATTAGCTGAGTTAAATAAAGTGAGGATAATCTGCCTAAAATGCAAATCTGGCCATCCTTCACAGCATGTTCTACTAAAATTCCAATACAATGTAATGGACTCGGGAGCCCTGCTGCCCTACATATATAGCCTATTTTCACCATGCCAGCATCTTTATTATTAGATAATAATAGTATATTTAAGATGTTTATATAGTGGCAGTACATAGCAATGGAAATAACATATCTTCAAGGAAAGCATAAAAAGCATCTCTTTCCAGTAAGCAATCAGATTTTCTCTGAGTTCCAAAGTCATGCTGATGGATTTCTTTCAACTTTCATAAACCAAAACCATAATATCACTCAATTATTACATGTTTTATTGGTCTTTTGATTTTTTTTTTTTTTTGGTTTATCAGGTGCGTCTAGAAGAGGGGCAGACAATTATTTTGGACAGAGGGCCGCTTACCGAGTTTTAGCAAGCCATCAAGGGCCGCAAGGGTAGCCCCACCCCTTGACAGGTGCCCTGCTGCTTGGTCACCATCTTGGGACCGGAAGTCCCACCCCTTGACACCCCAGAGATACCCCTTTCAGCAAGGGTTTGCCATCTCGGAATGAGAAAAATACTAAATTATATTCTAAAAATCAAATATTTACTACAAAATGCATTATTTGATTTCAAAAAATGGTTCTGTCGTGATTTACAAGTGTTTGTGTTGTGTACATGGAGGTGATTGCACAATAGCTTAAAATGAAGTCTTACTCCTGTATTTTGTAGGGGGGGGGTGGATGTGGGTGTGGGGGAGCATGTAGGTGTGCGTGTGGATATGTGGTGTGGGTGGGTATGGGGTTGCAGGGGGCTGTGAGTGTGTGGGGAGAGGATGGCTGGAGAGGGTTGTGGCATGTGTAGAAGGGGAGGATTTGCCCACCAACGCCCACCATGGCAAGCAGAACCTCCCCCTTAGCGCTCCTCCAAGCCAGGGCTCCACCCTTCACAGGGCTTCTGGCTGTGGGGAGCAGAGGGCAGGGACACCGGGCCTTGCTTCTGCAGCCATTTGATCCTGCCGGCAGCTTCCCCTGGGTCCCACTGCCCCGAGCTCCTGTCATCTTTGACAGGCAGCCAGGTACAGATAAATATTAATTTTCTAAATTTTTTAGGGGCCCCAAGGGCTGGATAGAAAGGCCTGGCATGCTGCATTTGGCCCATGTGCCGTATTTTGCCTGCCCCTGGTCTAGAAACAGTCATGGTGCTCTAGGGTATGGAAACAGCACATGTATAGTGTATTTTTCTCAGATGGCTTATAATAAACAAGAAATATGCTTACATAAACAGATCACGGGCTTTTTCATATTTGCCTTTGTCACAGAGCACTTACGTGTCCTGCTCCCTTTAAGCATTGGAAACTGCTGGGGAAAGAGCCCTAGCAGTGACTGGGGAGCTCCAGCTGCTGGTTATCAGTGCAACCAGAGTGAGCTAGTGACCCACACCTGCCAGCAGTCAGCTGACCAGAAGGGGCAGGGCCTGGCTCACATATAAACCCCAGGGCTGAGGTCAGGATGGCAGTTCCCTGTCAGCAGCCAAGGGGGAAGGAGTTCTCCCAGAGCAAGCAAAAGGGAGAGGCCTGACTGCAGGTACAGCCTCTAATACTGGTGAGGGACAGAGCACCCCAGTGCAGTTTGAATGAGGTTATAGCTGGGCGGCTGAAATTTATGTTATAGCCCAGGGTCTTGTATTTTGTTTACCAATGGTTTGAGGGAGGCTATTAGGGGAACGAGGAGGCCTCATAGGGGACCCATGGCAGCTTGGGGACCGCAGCGCCAGAGAGGGCACAGCATTGGGGGGTGCACTGACCCCAGAGCCAGAGAGGGCACAGCATTGGAGGTGCACCGACCCCAGCGCCAGAGAGGGAACAGCATTTGGGGGTGCACTGACCCCAGTGCCACAGAGGGCGCAGCACTGGGGGTGCACCAACCCCAGCGCCACAGAGGGTGCAGCATTTGGGGGTGTACCGACCCGAGCACCAGTGAAGGCGCAGTGCAAGACAGGGCCGCAGAAAGCCCGAGCGCCAGTGAGGCGCAGAGCGAGACAGGGGCTGCAGAGAACCCAGGTGCCAGTGAGGCACGGAGCGAAACAGGGGCCACAGAGAGCCCGGGGCCAGTGAAGGTGCAGAGTGAGACAGGGGCTGTGGAGAGCCCAGGCGCCAGTGAGGCGCAGAGCAAGATGGGGCCGCGGAGAGCCCAGGGAGGACAAGGGGGCCAAATTACAACAAGGCCCAGACCAAACAACGTTGGTATCATCTGCGAGGCTTGGGGCGTGGTAAAGGGATGGTTGGAGCCACACACAGCCCATAAGGCTAGGGTGTCCTGAAACACCCATTGCAGAACGGGACCTACAAGGGGTTCAGGAGCCCACAGGGTCAAAGAGCACAGCAAAACTGTGTCCAAGGTGACATAAACACAGCCTCCCTACTATATATTTACCATCAAAGACATGGCAGGCGAGAATCGAGGGTGCCCATTGGGCCAACTTGGCAGGGTAAGGGGGCCTTGAGGAGATCACGGCCATCCTGTAGGAGGACTCCATCCTGTGACAGCCTTTATATGTGAAAAAGACTGCTTTTAATTCTTCTAATTTGCTTGTGATCTGAACAAATTACCTGGTAAAAAGTTCTGCCTGGGCACTTTGGGCTCATATAGAGGTGCGGGGAGCCTGCTCTGATGTGCTGGAAATCCAGTGCATCAGAGCAGACTAGATTAATCAAGTCTGCTGGAGCACAAAAATTGATGTGCACCAGCAGCCTTCCAAGTCCCGTGTATCAGCATCCCTTTGCGTCCCTGTGTTGAAAAAATGGCAATGGGGCGCTTTGAAATAAAACACTTTCAATGAACTTCAGTTCAAAGTGCCCCACCGCCATTTTTTCAGCACAGGGACATGCAGGGCTGGTGACACACATAATGCGCAGGTGCTTTTAATTAATGTGGCTCATCTGGTGTTGCATCCCAAACCAAAGTAAAAATACCCTGGAGAACATGTAAAAATACTCTTCAGTTCCAGACTCCCGCTATTCCAGTTCTTGAAACTCCACAAAGCTCTGCCAGTCCATCTCAATCTAATACAATCCAGCAGGTCTTTGCCCTTCACAAACTTGAAGCATCCCTTATAATTCTAGTCTTAAACTACTTGTGAGCAGAGAATGCAGGCCAAACCATTGTATATCATAGTGGGAAGATGTCCAATAATTTTTGCTGACAACCTAAGGCCAATGTGAAAGCTGAAAATCCTATGTATTCTCCCACTGTACCTTACCACCACTTCAAAACAAATCCAATGAATAAGTTTATAAAAATATGACTTCATGAAAGCTGAAACCACAACTATAACTGCTTCTCCACATCAGAAGTCCATTTTACTTTTCCATATGATAAGTTATTTTTATCTAGTAGTTAGATCTAAAATGGTTATCTGTGATAAAGATACATACATATGTGTGATGTGCCTAAAATTACTGAATGGAAGTTGGATCCGGTCTCTCAGTTCCTGAGTCCAACGCAAAGCCCCAGCAACTAATGGCATGTTCCTGTGTACAGGGGCGTAGCCTGGGGAAGAAAATTAGAGAGGATTTGAAGGTATTTATTACTAAACTCTACACTTACATGGTCTCTGACTGCAAAGATTCTGTTGACAGTAACTTACCTGTATAATATTTCAGTGATTCCCTAGCATTTCTCTTTAAACAAAGCATTCTGATATATTGATGTAGTCTCCGAGGCAGAGAGAGAATTTAACAGCTTGCTAGGAAAACCCTAAAGATTTCTGTTGAAATCTTTTGCTCTGTTTTGTTAATAATGAATGCTGCTGGTGATGATGACATAGCAATATCACAGGAAGTCTGTATTTGTAACATGGAGTCCCAGGAGAGATTTGTATTGATAACGGACCACAGTTCAACCTATCCAAAGATTCTGTTTAACAATGGGCACTGACGGACGTGTTGTGCTGGGGGATACACTCTTTATTGGAAGCAGCAGCACGTTACTTTGACCCAGCATCTGTATAGATCAGGTGCTTTAGAAGGGCTTTTTGGTGCATTTATCAATTAGCTGATTCAATCAGTTGTTAGATAAAAGTGCCCCACTGAAGTGTGTGATCTATACAGACATTCAGCTAGCTGGGTCCAACTAACGTGATACCTCTTCTGGGAATGTGCTAGGCTCAGTGCGGAAGCACACCAAGTTTAAAGTGCCGTTTTGGGGGTGGTTTCCACATCTGGAAGCAGCCATAGTGAAGTCAACAAATGCTGAAAGAATTGCCATTACCTAGCATTGCCAGATGCCACTGCATATTGTAATTGTCTGTGCCTCCAATTTTATATGAAACAGATTTTCTTTGACTAAGCAGGTTGCTTGATCCCCTGGCTTGCAGCTGACTTGCATCCAGCGCTAGGAAATTTACAAGCCTTTCTGACGCACAGAAACCTTACACTGTGCTGGCAATTAAGACACAGTGGCAGCAGCGGCATTGCTGAAAGCTAAGTGTACAAATCTGGAGCAGCACAGGACTGAGCATATGTACATCTTTTACAAAATGCCACCAAATCTTTGCATTGTTTTAAAACCATTTGCAAAATATATACCAGAGATGAGATCAGACCCTCCTAGCTGTTCTGACATTGACTGCAAGGGAGCCCAGATTTCATTCCCCATATTTTATCCAATGCTAGACACACTGTTTTTTCACTTGCCTCTTTCAGTTGGCATAAAAAAAGACGTATTATGTCTTTGCAATCATCAAACAAGGAATCAGAGGTAAATAACAGTATACAGGTACTCTAAAAATGTGCCATACTTATAATTTAAGATCCTTTAAAATTTTTCATTTACGAGTCTAAGTCTATTCTAACTATGCAGTTGGTCCAATAAAAGACATCACCTACAAAAATTCTTGCCTCTAGCATATTCCTGCCCCATCATAGCTACGTCACTCCCACCTCTTCCTTAACGTATAATTGTTTCCTGTCCTAGAACATTAAAAAATAAAGAAAGTATACAGTAATTACAGCATGTGACAGGGGGCTGTCCTGAGGCCAACCTCTGCATCAGCCTACCCACCTGTCTCGGGCATTCCACCCGCCTATCTCGCCTGCCACGTCTTGCTAGTAAATAATTAAGTTGTTCATTAGGTGGGAGGCTGCCCTTTGTGCACCCAGCTATACTGGGCAGTGTATACACACTCCGACCTCCCCTGCATGTGCCCCATGCCTTGCAGGTGCTACTACCATCATCAACTCTATACGCCCCTGGCATTGAGCCCTCTGGCTCCTGTCTCTCTGTAACACACAGGCACCGAGTTCTCTAGTGACTGGCTTTCTGTGCCTTTTTCTCAGATGCCTGACTCTATGCCTCTCTCCCGAGCACCTGGTTCTGCGCCCCGTTAGCTGTGTTCCTCTGGTGCTATGAGTGCTGCTCCCCTCTGGATGCACCCCTCTGGTGCTATGGACTCATCCAACCCTGTACCTGTGCCCCTCTGGCACTGTGGGCTCGCTGAGTCCTTCTGACTGCACCCTCCTGGTGCTCTGGACTTACTGTGCCACTGTAACTGCACCCTCCTGGTGCTCTGGGTTCACTGAGCCCCTGTAACTGTGCCCTCCTGGTGCTCTGGGCTCGCTGTGCTCTTCTGGTTGTGCCCTTCTGGTGCTCTGGGCTTGCTGCGCCCTTCCAGCTGTGCCCATCTAGCGCTATGCCTGACACTGGGCTCTACCAAATCATATGCCCTCTCTCTAGGCAGTAACAAGGTCTTCAAACCTCCCCTTCCAGCCTCATCCCGATTCTTTGGGGTAAACATGAACACAAACACAAGCCCCTAGGCAATAACTTAAAGACTAACAATAACAACAGTGATATGCCCCTTAAAGGGAATAAACTTCCACTCAGAGTAACATGCCCCTATTCTAGGTGCCTGGGAGACTCCCTGTAGTCATGTAGCACCTAGATAGCAGAGCAGGCAGTACTGAGAGAGCTAGGCAGGCAGCACCAAATCTCAAGTAGCTTCGGCGGGCAGGAGCTCCTTCACAGTTGCCAGAGAGAGGGTGTGTGTGTCTGCTAGCTACAGCCTGGGCTTATATGTCCCAGAACCCTGTCTCCTGCCAGTCAAGTGACATCAGCAGGTGTGGCCAATTACTTCCTTATGCTGTTACCCTAGCAACCTGCAGCTGGGTAGATCTGCTTGACCTACTGAGCTCCCTGGCCAGGATTCTTCAGCCCTAAGTAGCAGGTACATCTTAATGCCCTGCTACACAGCACCATCACAAACTTACATTGTAAGTCGCCATCCTCTCTTAGTGGCAGCCTATACAGGCAACCCCCGCTTAGCGCTCTTAATTGGTTCCTGAAAAAATGAGCATTAAGTGAAACGAGCATTAAGCGAAACCAGAAGTATTTGATGACCCAAGATGGCAACTGCAATTGTATTTAATGACCCAAGATGGTGACCATGAGTGTTATAACAAAACTCACTGAGCGCTAAGTGAAATCAGGTATCAATTTAAAATAAGCATTATAGTGAAATAGTGCTAAGTGAAACAGCAATAAGCGGAGGTTGCCTGTACCAGTGATTCTCAACCAGGGTGAAACAGAATTCCCAAGATAAACCCAAAGATTTCAAATAAAAATTTTTTTTTAAAAATCCATAGGTGTAGTCTTTCTGAGTTCTTTGCAACAGAAAAATAGCTCTATTATTATTCTGTGGTCAAAATAAATAATTAAATACATAAATAAAAGTCTGAAAACTAAGGGCTAGCATTTTCTAAGGAGTCCCTCAAGTCCATCCAGGGATGCCTCAAGTCTGGGCTACAGAACCACTGGTCTACATGGATTTAAGTCTTTCATAGCCACCAAAGGTTAGAATCTGCTTTAATTCAAACACCGGAAACTCATGCTTTTAAACCAAGAAGCCCAGGGTTCATTCCCTTCAGGTGGTATGATCTGGGGTGTTATTCAAAAAGCTACTCTGTGATCCTGACAATATGATAGAACTCTATGTCCTTCTGGTATCATTACATATGGAAAACCAAACATGTCAGGCATAGACTGATTAAAATACATAGTACAGACTGCCTATTGGTATAGTGTGCATTCGCAAATTACAGGGAAAATTGTAGAAATTAACATCTAGGGCCTTTGTGAACCTCTCTCCAAGTCCCACTAAATATTGAAGGTAGTATCCAATGATGGCAGAAACATCCAGCTTATTGGGTGTCCCAGTTTATTTGGACATAAACCTAATTATACATCACTTCCAGAGTGGATTTAAAAGGATTTTTTTTTAATATATACATTTTACTTAATTTTTATATGCATGCATGCATTTCTTTATTTTCTTCACAATTTTTATAGCTCTTGACTATTAAAGTGGATGTTCTACAGTCCTGACCACAAATTTTCCCCTGAAGCAATTTTCAACAGAAAATGTCCTTTTGACAAAAAAGATTTTTCTGAACATTTACATCATCATAGAGAGTTATAAGCAATGGACAGCTTTCAAAAATGACAATTTAATTTTCTAATTAAAAGCCAAAATGTTAAAAAAGAAAAGAAAAAGAAAAAGTCATTCACTCTGGTTTCTCATCAAATCATTTTGCACCAGTAAAAATGCATACCTAACTCCATCTCCTTTTGAATATGACTAGAGTAGATCATTTTAGCATCTTCTAGGTCTCTGTCAAACATAGTAATGAGCAAAGGATATTTATCAGCAGCATCAGCAGCTATCAGTGGACGTTCCAGAAGGCTTCCAAACATATCCAGCAACTAGGGACAGAAATAAACAGAAAAGCAACAACAACAACAAAATCATTATACTGTACCACCTTCTCCATCAGGCCCTGGTCTCTATGAACTTCTTCCTTAGAAAGTCTTAATGCCGTGAACAATAAGGGAAAAAAAATTAAATCTGTATGTAATAAAGTGCTCCTCCAGAAACAACTGGGCACACCCCCTCAGGGGCGTGGGGGAAAGGGCAGTACATGGCTACCTACTCTGGTCCCCTAGTTTGGCCCCCTTTTTCTTTTTCTCCTTCCCACCTGCCACAGCTTAGTATTAATTAAGATGTTCTTTGAGAAGCTGTCTTTAAGGAATCTAAGGCTAGGCTATAGGCACCTTGTCTCCCTATCTTGTGCCAAGCCCCAAGTCAAGCAGTGCTGTGTGAGGCTTTGCCCCTTCTTTCTTTCTCCTGCCCCCCTGCTTTTTCCCAGTAGGTGGATCACCAGGCATGCATGTCTTCAGTCTGTCTCAGTCTTCCTCTTTTTTGTCCAGGCTCTGGCCAGTCTAAGTTCTGGCCCCCTTCCCTGGTCTCTCACCCCCCAAGACCATCAAGGTAAGCCCAGAAAAGGAAAAAACCCTCAGTGTGCGGGGTCCTCTGCTCTGCAAGCTCCTTGCCTCCCCTCACAGCCAACCCAGTCCACTGGGTGTTCCTATTGTCATGAGCAGAAAAACAACAAAAAAAGAGAACAGCAAGCAGGCCCGCACTGTGTTTTTAAGACTGCCTGCAGTCCTCAGGGTATCCTGCTTCCCTGGGCCCCTCTGGTCTCACCACAACCAGTTCTTAGTCTGTTTGGGCACACGGAGTGCCTCACCCTGCTAGGGGGCTCTTCTAGGGTGAATATAAAACTTCCTTCCGATTTTTGTACCCCATTCTGGGAACCTTCCAAGGCATTACAACAGGTAGAAAAGGAAAGGGGAAAAATGGAGGTTCTCAGTACTTCCCAGGCACTTGCTTCTTCATTCTGCAAATGCTTCCTTCTAGGCATCAGATATCCCAGCCAGTGGAGTTCCCACCCCTGTCTCCCTACAGGGCTGTCTCAGTCCACAGCCGTGGCCAGCTCCCTTCCTCTGGCCTGGGGAGAGTTTATATCTCACTCAGCTCCACCCACCTGGTCACCTGACTGGGCTTCCTGTTCCCTGAGTGCAGGTGTGTTCAGTTTCTTGCTCTCCTCTCCCTGCTGGGTCCTGCAGCTGACTGACTGCAGGCTGAGCTTTGCAAGTGTGAGCCCCTGGCCTAGGGCCTGGTCTCATCCCTTCTCTGGGTATCTGCTCATGTCTCTACTGCCAGCTACTTGCCCCCTTGCTGTCCAGCTGGGACCTCCCTTGACAACCAGGGGCCTCTCCACACCCTCTGTGCTGACTGGTCCCCTCCTTATAGCAGGCAACCATTCCCTTTTCTGGGCTACAAAGGCTCTGGCCTTAATGGGGCCCTGCTACTTTTCCTTCCCTGGCCCCTTCTTCTCAATCCCAGGGCTAGGATCCCCTATTGCACTATATACACCACACATTTTTCCAGGAAATCCCTTCTTTCTCAAAATACTTCTCAAACTTTCTGCATCATATGGCTCACATTTCAATACTCATAATATCGAATACAAATAATGAAACACTAATAATTCTCTGAATGAAAAATATTGAAATCAAAATTGTCATTAAAAAGTATTTTTTTAAAGTTTGATTTTTCATGACTTTTGTTACTAACATTTTTATTTAAAAATGTTATTGAAAATGATGTTGAAAAATTTTCACTCTCCAAGTTAGGCTTTTTACATAAACAAAAAAGTTTTCATTTACTGAAAATACACTTTTTAGCAAACAAAATATGTTAGTGTCATAATAAGAAAAAAAACCAACAGCCCAATGCTCTTATACAGTGGTTTTCATCAACTGATGTCAAAGCACTTTACACAAAGTCGGTATCATTGACCCATTTTATAAACAAAGAAATGAAACAAATTGCCTAAGTCACCAGCATTCTCGACAATTAAACCAGTGCTCCAGAGTTCCAATCCAGGACACTAGTCATTAGATGACGTACTTATAATAAAAACATCAAGAAAATAATTTTGTGAAATACTCTTTAAAAAATATACATTGATCAGTTGGTGCACATCAAATCCTGTTAAATGGGAGCAATATCAGTACAGAGCCATGTGTGAGAGGAAGTAGTGAGGACCAAGCTGTACAAAGCAAAACGGTCCAGAGGAAGAGCAATGTCAGACATCCTACTCTTCCTCTGGGCCAAGTACATGAACCAGATTTGCAAACTGGCAATAGGGGCAGAATCCAAAACAGCCTACTTTGTCAAGTATTTTGCAGGGCAGCTGCTGCGACAGTGGCAAGTGTACACAACCAACAGAAGCCTGTGGACCACGGTGTACCCGTGGTTCTATGAGGTCCTGAAAACTTCCGGGAAAACTACAAGCTGCATGACACGACTCTAGCAACCCTGGTGAACCACCACAAGATACAGGAGGTCGTAAGGGTAAGAGACATCTTATCACCCATGGACTTACTACCTAGTGACAACTGCCAGGCTGCATGGGAGCAAATCTTCCACAAGGACTTGCAGAAGGAGCACAGAGACCTGAACTGGCAGATAGCCCATTGGGCATTCCCTGTATGGGCATGGAGAAACAACACAGAGCAGAAAGGTCCATCTAACTATCCAAGACCAACCTGTCAGTGACAGGCAAAAAGAATTGACCACCTTTTCTGGGACTGCCCATATGCCAGGGAGGTGTGGAAGAAAGTACATGTATTCCTTCTGCTGGTGACAGGTTTCAGAATCCTGACCAGAGAAGCAGTCCTCTATGGACACTTGACCAAACAACAAGGGGCCCCAACAGCCCACTTCAACCAGTTCGTCTCTTGCTTCAGGTATGCCTGTGGAAGGCCAGGAACCTGCTCACAAAAAGGCACTCAGACCAACAGTTGAGGACTGTATTAAAATGAGGCTGAGTGAAATGTACTGGTACTGCAGAAAGACAGAAGGGAACAATGGGAAAGAGATGGTGAACCTCATATAGAAGAGAGGGGACTGGCATAGGCTTTTCAGAGGAAGCCGTCCAAAAAGAATGAGGACAATGGTGAGGACAGTGATGACGATGATGATAAGTAAAAGCACTGGATTGATGGGTACACAGGAGCACAGTACTGGTTGTAGCCATGCAGGTCTAAGGACATAGGCAGATGAGGTTCTTTGGCTAAATCTGATATCTTTTATTAGACCAACTAAAATCGTTAAAAACAATTCTTCTTTGCAAGTTTTCAGTTACAAACACCCTTTTTCAGGCAGAGGGAGTGTCTGCAGTTGTTTTGTGCTCTTCCTGGATGGAATAGAAGCCAGTATGCAAGAATGCAAGTCTGTGAAAATGCAAAAGTGTGGCAGTGAGGGTCAGAGGGGGTAAGAGACAATGGGTGAGAAACAGGCTGCAGTGGGGAGGAAATGGTGCCCTGGTGAAAAAACTTATGATAGGGGTAAATGTGATGTCATGTTTGAAGTATTGTGGAGGATGGCTTCTGGCTAAGATGATCGGATGGGTCAAAGTACTATACAGTAAAGCAGGAAACCGAGCACTGGTAAATGGTTACTTGAGCAAAACATTCCCCATGCAAACAGGGGTAAGACAGTGATGCCTGCTGTCCCCCTATCTTTTTGTGTATGTGGCAGAGCCATTGGCACAGATAATTCGTTAAATGTACATTACATAAGGATGATGTGAACATACATGTCAGGACAACATATCAATTGAGAGGGTATCGAAGCATGTTGAGGACTACGGTGAAGTGTCAGGGGTGAAATTAAATTAGATGAAAAGTACATTGATGGGTGTGGGGAATTGGGAGAATTTACAGAAGTTTGGGCTCCGGGTGGTAGAGGGTGTAATCAAGATCTTGGGAATCGTAATGGATGCCAAAGGGAAAGGAACAAAGGTGTGAGAGAATTTAGAGATAAGAGTGAGACAGATATTGGGATCATGGAGTGGTAGAATGTTATCTTCCAAGGATAAAGCAGTTGCAGTGAAAACAGTACTCTTGCTGATCATCCTTTACATGGGAGTGGTATATCTACCATCATGGCAACAGATAAGGAGGGTATAGAGGCAAATGTGTTTTGAGGGGGGAAGTAAAAGAGAAATGGTAGACAGAATGGAGCTATACAAAGCCAGGGAATAGGAGGTTGGGGAATACCAGATTTCGAAAGCTTTGTGTATACTTACTTTATAAGTATGCTCTGTAAATAGATAGAGGAGGTGGGGAAGACTGCATGTTTCTGCTGTGCTGTTACCTGGCAGGGAGAACGTTAAGAAGATGGGGCACATACGGGGGAGAATGAAAAAACTGTGGGCATGGCAGCCACAAGCCCACTATGCGATGATCAAGAGCTTCATACGGGTAAATAAACTTGAGGGAGTGGGATTAGAGTACTTGAAAGACCATAAGAAAGTGATTAATATTATTAGAAAGAAAGATAAGATAACATTAGTTGGTGATCTGACAGAAGGACAGATGACCAATATGTGGAAAGAAGTAACAGATATAACTGAATAAAAAGAGAACATACAGATATCATATAGATGATGATGCGGGATATTCTTCCTGTGAGGGGCATTCACCATAAATGGGGCTTGGCAAAATCGATGGCATGCCTGAGAGAGGGATGTGGAGCTGAAAGATCTGTATCACATATATTTTGGGACTGCCCTTTTGTGCAAGGGGTATGTGAGGGAATCCATCGTTTTGTGAGGGCAATCAATATGAACTGTAACTTAACATGTGAAATGGTGTTGTATGAGCCATGTGTTTTACTGTCATGCTCCGTATAGGCTATATTTAATCAACTTCATAGTTGGCTTCCATTACTGAGCTCCTTTTAGCAGCAGTTTAAACTTAGTGTATTTAATGTGGTTTCCTTGCATTAAAATGTAAGACTAGGGACTTTTTCCTCAAGTTGATTGCGGGGGAAATCTTTGTCTTATATTTTAGTAATTGCAGTACTTATCAAACAGTAAAAAGCTCTAACCAACTATAAAGATAGACCTCAAAAATATATTCGCTATCAAGCTTTAATTTGCATATGTAGCATGGTCTTCCCTGCAGCTGGGAGTCCCATCCGTTCACAAGATTCCCAGCAGCAGGGTGCACTTTGCCCAGCCAGGACTGCAAGTCCCACAACTGCTAAGGACTCTCAGCCCTGGGGGTGCATGAAGCCCCTGGGGTGGGAAGATCACTACAGGTGTGATCTCCCAACCCCAGGGATGTGTGAAACCTTCAGCAGCCCCAGAGGTTTTCACCACATTCCCTATTCTATGAATTACACATTAGATCCCATTGTGCCTCTACCTGCATGTGTTGAGGGGGCCTTAGAAAGTACCCATTGTGCAAGCAGCTAAAACAGTGGTTTGCATTTTAGACAAATCATTGTCATAACCTTTGTCACAACCGAAGGGTGTGATTTTTGTTTTGTGAGTGCTTCGGCACTGCTAAATTGTTCCCGCTAAATTGCAGCTTCTTTGCACAGTGGAGTTTTCTGCTGCAGAGGAGAACCCCTGTGCAAAAGAATTCCCGCCACCAGTAGCTTTCTTTGCAGGGTGCATTTCTTTGTTGCAGCACAGAAATGCACGTTGCAAGGAGATCCCGCCATTCGTATTCAAATTTGTGCCCCACCATTGGCTAGCTCTAAATTATTCCTACGTGGCGGCTAGCGATTGGCTTGCTAGCCGTATAAGAGGCTTGAGTGGTTTCTGCCCAAGTTGGAGGACTCCACGAACACCAGGAGGAGGAGACTTCACGTCTTGTGAAGATCTCTAAGCGCTGTGGAGTCTATTGGACCCAGCGCATTTAAAGCAGGCAACAGGGGTCTGATCAGCCTCTAGCCTCTCCCCATCACCGAGCGCAATCCTCGACGTATCCCTCTTCCCTGTGCACAAAAAGATCCACGCAGCCTAGCAAACTTCGTGTGAGTCTATTCAGAGCTCTTCACTTCGAATCCCTGCATGCAAGTTCCACGGAGCCTAGCAAACTTCGTGTGAGTCTATTCAGAGCTCTTTGGTTTGAGTACTTTCTTTGGTTGGCGCGACGGGCTCGCGGTTTAGAGCCTCCAACCGGACGGGCTAGAAGAGTGTTCACGGGAAGGAACTCTAGTCCACCTCTCATCTTTTCTATCTGTAACCGCAACTCAAGCAAGTTTTCCAGCCTACACTGCGACCATCTTCGGTGTAAGTAAATAATCTTTAAATCAACCATTACGCGTCTGTGCCTAATTCTAGCGTGTCGCCCGTTCTCTCCAACCCCGCGTGCCCAGGCTGCTGGCCACAGCCCGCGCAGAGCACAAAAAGGGCCCGGATTGCTCCCGGCCCGCACAACCTTCACTCACAGAGCAAAGCCAGAGGAGAAGTTTATTTTGAGCTTTTCCTGCAAGAAAGTGCTTTTTCTCATTACAACACAAACCTTGAAAGCATGTTCCAAGTCAGATGCATCATCAAAAGCCTGGCAGAAAATAGTTCCCAGCCTTCTGTCCATATCTTCTACTTGTTGCTTGAAGTTAGAAGCATCTTGTTCAAATTCCTAAGGAATGGCAACACACGAAGCTATTAAACAATGTCCTTGACAAAAATGGCTGCAATCGCTATCTGGCACACACTTCCAATCCATTTCCCTCATTCTAGGAGCTGAAAACACATTAGTTAATAGAAGTGGATCCTCAGTTGGTGTAAATTCATAAAGCACCATCAATTACAATTCAGCCTCACTATCTTATAGTAGCTGGGGAGCTGGCTCTAACTATTTTCAAGTCTCCTTCTGTCATGTGCATTTCTATAGCTTCTCTGATATTGTTTTATAATCATTCAGGCTGCTAAAAATGTTCCTTTTAAGTTAGATTCTGCAAATTAAATCTGTAGGTCAGAAATTCCACAAATATACTTTCTACATAGAAAGCAGACATGCTGTATTTGCTGGCATAAAACATGCACCTTTTCCCAAAACCTGGCTGCTAAGAATTGGGTGCATGTCTTAAATGAAGAAATGTGAGGAACAGAGGGACCAATTTTACCAAAGCTAAACTGCTTGGCCCCACTTCTTAAGCCAAGCGGGCAGCCAGTAACACCTGCCAAGTCAGCTGAGGGCTCACACAGCTTGAGACAGACAGTTTGGTTCAGTCAGCAACATCAGCTGAGGGCATAATCCTGCTGGAGCCAAACTGGCCAGCCCTGCTTCTCAAATGGGGTGGGCCTTCAGCTGACTTGGCAGGCACTGCTGGCTGACCACCCAGTTTGAAAAGTGGGGCTGAACAGTTCAGCTCTTGTAGGATTGGGTCATCAGCTAACTTGTGACTGACCACCTGGCATCAGAAGCAGGGCTGGGCAGTTTGGTTCAGCCAGTGACATCAGCTGAGGCTGTGATTCTGCAGTTGAACCATCTATCCCCACTTCTCAACCTGGGTGGGCACCTCATCCTGAACCTAGAGGGTTAACAGAGCAGCCACTGGCTTTGGCTCACACCCTACTGAGGTTGCCTGTGTTTTCCCTGCAGAAATACCATATTTACCAGTATTTTCAAGGAAAGATATTTTTTCTTTATTCCAGATTGCAAAAACAAGAGGCATATGGTATGCAAGAAAATACAGTACTTTAAACCAAATTTGTGTTGTGGAAATTTTGTTGCTAGAACATACTGAAAATGTGACAATGTTGAGGCACTTTGCATTCTTTTCTTATTGAAGATAAAAAAAAAAACCTTAAAATTTAAGAAAGAAAACTAAGTTTGAGGTTTGTGTTTTTTAAAGGTAAAATAGTTTTGAACTAAAATTTGACTTGGCATACAGTCAAATTTCAAGCTGCAGAATGGAGATAAAGCTACCAAAATTAAGTTGCATAACAGTAATCTAAAAAGATGCCGAGTGGTATGTAATTGTTATATTATTATTATTGCATTTCAGTGGAGCCTAAGATAATGGTTTTCTCACATACATGGGAAACTCTTACACTAAGAGTAGGGCTCAAATTTTAAACTATTAAATGAATAAATCAGGTTAAAAAATCATGTAAGAGGCCTGAGATCAGAAGACACTGCTCAGCGTCCATGTCAGAGCAATTTCTGCCTATTATATTAGTAACCATTTCTTGCCAAATTCCTCCATGTGGAGAAGTTGTTTGGAAAAGTACCAATTTGCATACTTTATAAAGAACGCTTAACAAACACAGATCTCACACACAGCACAGGCACACTAATAGTGTGGACTACAGAAGGCAAACCATAACCAATGACTTACAGGATTGCAACTATTACCTCTTTTGCCCAGTCACCAAGTTGGATAGTTCCTTTTATAAATACTCAGGACAGCTGCCTGTTATTTTTACTTGAGTAAAGCATTATTATGCAGTGAAGCACAATATAATTTCATATAATAACCATACAAAAATTAGTACATTTGCTAACTACAATAGCTGAAGCACAGGAAAGACAACAAACACCAGTTTCAAAGTTTCCAGATAACCTTAATTATTTCCTGTCTAATCTCTGATTACCTGCAAAGAGATTACCACACAGTGGTCACTGTGCCTCTTGCTATAGCCATCCTACCCTTCTTTATTCACTATGTCACTTGAACTTACTAAATGTAAGATTTAGTGATCAAGCCTGCATCCTCTCTGCAATGGGGAACCCTTGCCCTGTTACTGCAGGAAGACTATGGGGCCAGCAGGACTGGCAAGGGGCCTTTTAAGGGTAGGGTCTTTATCGCCTGGGAAAAAGGCTGCTGCAACAGCCAGGAGTTCTGTCCTGGGAAGTAGCTGCATGCAGGTGCCTTAAATTGCTTTGTGAGATTAACTCTCTGTTGGTAAAGGGGGTCTCTCTTTCATTCACCCCTTCAAGGCTGGAGGACCAGGAGGGCCCAGAGCCCCAACTGTAGAGCCTAATCCCCTGCTGTGTCTCTGCTACTGAGAAGCTAGGGCTGAAATTAAGTGGGCCTAGTGCTGAAAGTAGTAGTCAGAGCAAGCAGGCCTGGGCCAAGAGGGCCAGGGCCTAGACAAGTATAAAAAGGGTGGAGCCAAGTGACCCACGGGAAACTACACTCTAAGGACTGGGATGCTTCTTGCAAAATAGGTTGTTTCATCAAGGCATGGCACATCAGATACAGGGAAGCAGTTTGGAAACACTAGGAGGGGAGAAGAGGGTAGGGGGCAGGCTAGTGAGATACTGGGTGTTACTATCTCCTGTCAGACACTCCAGTTTAGACATCCACATATTCTCTCTATGCAGCTATACCTTAAATAATCAGTGCAAGTAAAACTGGTACAGAGGCAGCAACTTGCTTATTAATCAGTATGTCTCCTGCCATTCATGCTTGTTCATTGGTATTAACTTGTCTTCTTGCGTCCAGGTGGAGGGTAAGATGTTGATTTATTTTCTGACTGAGAAAGATGATCTCGGAGAATACTTCTGCCCTTGTACAATACCACTGATCGCCACCATGGCAGCTGTGTAAGCTTTGTATACTTGGCCAGAATTAAGAGTGCCACTAAGAATCTGCCACAGACTAGCAAACTACAAACCAGTCAGTGAAGGCAATCCCCAGGTTAGGTAAATGGTGAAAAGTAAGATAAATCAGAAGTTCCCTTTATATTACATATAACCGTGGACAATATATCTTTTGAAAATATAACTGAGACCTTTGCTTTGTTACTGAAATGTTGACAGGTAGACTACATTACATAGCAACAAAGGTCTAAGGAATAAAATCTCTAACTAAACCCTAACACTGATGCCTACAATGGCTCTTGAATGCTGATTTACCAGATAATGAATAATCATGCAAGTACTGGCTTGAGCTTTAGATATTAGTGTGAGCTGTAAGTGCATCAATCAGTGTATAAAGTCTGTGATACGAGGAGTATGTGGAATACTTTCCTTGATTTTACTGTCAGTGTGTTAAAATGTTCCCAGGAAGGCTTATGCATCCCTCAACAAATCTGTGATGCTACAGCTGCCCTGTTGTTGACCTCCAAGCTAGTTAAGTTAAAGCCAATTTAGGTATGAAATGCAGAGCAGATGTACACTCAGAAACCAGATTTCTTATGTCATCTGACAAAAAACAAACATTCTTCTAATTGGGGATGAAAACAAACAAACAAACCAGAAAATGACATATTGATGGAAGAAGAGACTGAAAACAGCTATACATTTTCTAGTAGACCTGGGATTTTTCAAAAGTTGAAAGCTTTTACTCGTACTTGGTTGTCTTGGAGTCCAGTACACCTACCAAGTTTGTTGTGTCAAGACAATCGTAGCTATGGTCTGACAATACTTTATACACTTCCTGGAACTCTTCATACATGCTCAAGACTTGCTGGCTTAGAGCCTTCCCTTTTATCCCGCTGAACTCTATCTTTTCCAGCTTCATTATGTCCAAGGCAGTTGCTAGGAGATCCTTTAGAGTCAATTAACAAAGGAACCAGTTAATATGTTGATAAACAGTTTTCATAACAAAGTAGTTTCATACTGTGAAACCATGTTGACAGTGTCCTTGACTCTTCACAGACTATCAGCACATTCAGTGCTGATAAGCACTGAAGTTGAACTATCCTTGGCACAACCAGTCTGCAATTCATGTTGGCTCTGCAACCTATTAGCCCATACTCATATCTCATCGTTCTTCAGATGTTTTTTGCTCCAGCATTTTACTTACTCTAGTTCTTGAAGGATGGGCAACAGAAGGATAGTTTGTATTCTTTTAATTTTTGAGACCTCACTCCTAAAAGGGTTGTGCTAATTGTAAAGCCATATTTAAGGTATTTACTTGTTGAAAGATACAAATAGAAGCCCAATGAAATTTTCAAGGATCAAGGTCCTGACTTTTTAGGACCCTAAAGACCTTTAAAATTGGACCCTTAGAAAGTTAAGTCTCACTGGAAGTTGGTAAAATATATGCTTCTAGATACCTACAGCTTAGATCCAAAAAAGGACAGAAGTTTGCAGAGCTGAGTAGTACAGTAGCATTTCTACCTGAAATGCCTGGTGGGAAATCCAGAACATCACTTAGTCATGTGATCTTTCTAAAAAATTCAAGAAAAGTTTTTCAGCATGAGATTTTACCCATCCAACACGCTTAAAAAGTTTAAGAATGCTACCGTATGTGTTTGATTCTAAGATGAGGGGCTCCCCACCCCACCCCTCACTTAACGTGGGACGAAACACCTTATCTTAGAACCAAATATGAGAGCAGTGGGGGAGGCAGTCAATTGCTCTGGCTTGGCTTTAGCCCCTACCCAGGGTCAGGGCCACAGCAGTACCTGCCACTCCCAACACCTGCCAACTGCCTCTGTATCCTTCCTTCTCCCCCTGCCATGCAACTTCTGCTCCCCACCTGCCTCTCTCTACTTTTCCACATATCCTTGCTCTACCCGTAGGCCCTATCCACGCTGTAGCCTGAGGCTACAATAGCATAGCCTCAGCCTGGCCCCAAAGCAGCGGTGCACAACCCACAAGGCTGCTACAGAGTGGGCTGGGATGGGGTTGCATTCCATGCCCCAAACTAGAATGAGGATGGAGCCTGCTGGCACAAAGCAAGAGTAAGGGAGGGAGAGGAGGAAACCAAGAAGCAGAGGCTAGAGGGGAAGTGGGGCAGGGGCAGACACCAGAGGTGGAAAGGGGGCAGGCACAAACAGGGGGAAAGCAGCTTGACTTCCCCACAGCAAGTGCTCCTTACTGCCTTCCCCTTTGCAGCAGGAGTGGGAGGATGAAGAAGATCCCACCCCCAATAATTAGATTCTCTACATAGAAAACTATAGCTAATTAATATTTTTTTCCATGTAGAGAATCTAAATGGGGGGGATGGGGCTGTCTTTAAATTCAAGGTCATTGTGGATTCAGATAAATATGGTATTTAATTATTCTTCATATAAAATACTAATAAATTAGCCCTTGGAGCAAGGATTGGAACCAAAGGATCCTCCCTACCTTGATGAGCATTTTAACCATTAGGTTAGAGTTAGGCTTACTCTTTCTCCTGATTTTAGATCTAAGGAACCTTACTTATTTTATACACAGTGCAGTAACTTCTACAGGATGGTGTAAAGCACACTGCCTCAAAACAACCAATAAACTAGTGGTTAGGGCACTTGAGAAGAGGGAGGGGATTTGGGTTTGAAGCCCCTCAGGTAGAAGAAAAAATGAACCTGTTCTTGCATGGGGCATGGGGCTAAGCATGAGGTTATTGCATAAAAAGTGAGAAGTGGCATCACTACCACCTCTTCTGCCAGAGACTTTTTTTTAAAGAAAATGATGGCCATCTCTGTACTTTGAATGGAGACCAATCCATTAGATGATTTCTAAGTACACATACCATATCAAGCCCCTCACAAAAAACACAGTCAGAAGAATTCTTTAGTTAAGGATCCCAGTCAGGCTAAAGCATGAAGTAGGTGCCAAGCTGCTTAGTCCTGTCAAGACTAAGGTGTTTCTGGACATACAAGGAAGCAGTATTCTAAGCTTAAAAATGATGCTCCTACAAAATGTAGACTCCTTCAGACTAGGCCGCAGAAAATCTGGCATTTTCAAGAGCAGAAATTTGGACTTAAGGTTCTGACATTCACTGCTTCATTTTTGGATTTGACACAAGTGGAACAGGAGTCATTGGGTCAGTTGTGATTTTTGGGGCTGTCCCAAGAGCAACATGGAAGTAGTACAGATAGCACCTTAGTGCTAAATCCAATACTGGACTTACGAACCAATAAGTTAGGTGCTATAATGTCTAACTTTTAGGTGTGTAGCCTCAGAGTGGAATCCAGAACCCTGTGTGAGGTCCCTATCTCCCTATACAGTGCATGGATAAAGTCTGTTGCCTCAGAATGGTAATATGAAAACTTGCACATCAAGTAGGAATCTTTCTAGAATTAGCTAAAAGAGATGTCCCAGGTGGGGATATGTCCACAGTCCTATCCCTCTCCAGAATTTGGGTACCCAAATAAAGGATCCAGGAACCTCTATCCCTTTGGATCCTCCAGAACCTAGAATCTCATCCTGAGGAAAAGTGCCTACAACTGTTCTTTCCAAAAACTGAATGATGCTGTAAGGACCAAATCATAGGCAGTCTTGCCTAGTGGTTAGGCCACTGGGGAAGAACAGGAATCAAGGTGGAGCCCAAATTATGGGCTGAGTCAGGGGTCTAGAATTAGGGACCAAACTACCAGATCCAAAGGAGAAAACCAGAGGCAGAGGCCAATACACAGGCTGAGTTGGGGACCAAATTACCAAAGCTGAGTGGAGTTCCCAAAAGCCAGAGTCCAGAAGCAGAGCTGCACAGGGTCAAAAGCCAGAGCACCAGAACACAGAGGATCTAGATAAGTTTATCACATCACACCTTCAGGCAGAACCATAAGTTGGCCAGCAGTCTGCTGCCACAGGTGGACTTAAATAGAGGGCATCTGCTGTCCCCAGCAGCCAGTCAGGAACACCTACCAGTGGCCATTCGGTTCACCAGCCAGGGTGGGGCTGCCAGCTAGAGCTTCAGGCAGGTTAGCCATACTGGGGAAGAGCAATTAGTTGTGGCTGGGTTGCCTGTTAGGACCCCTGACAAATACACACTGCTTTGTTATAACACAAGGAGGTAGGGTTTCTATCTCCTTTCTGTAAATAACCTCATAAAGCACTAAGTGGAAGACCCAGGTTCAATGTCCTCTACATCCTAACAGGGGCTCAAACTAACATCTCCCCGAAAAGTGTTATTAGCACACAGAACTGTGTACAAAGTGACTGAAGTAGATAGAGTTTTAAGAATATTGATAATTAATTATGAGTTTTGTAATTATGTCCCTGTTCCCAGATCTTTTTCTGTACTTACATACAGTATTCACTGGATAAGCTACTAACACAGTCCTGGGAGCAGAAAACAGAACTGAGAACTCTTTCTTCCTTCTGACTTTATAGTCATATCTTCCCTTTCTCACTCTCTCCCCCTAGCTTCATGAATCTTGCATTCTTTAAGGATAAGAGCTCTAAGTACTACGTTGTGATACACAATATAGGCAGCAGTATGTCTTCCCCCAATCCTGGCCATGTTTTACAAAAAGTGACTCCAAATGCAGTTTGTTTGTGGGTATTAGGCATTCTCTTAGGACAGTTAGTGGAACAAGCCCCACAGTGAACCCAATGAGGATAAATGCAGAGTGCTTCATCTGGGGAGAAGTAACCAGAGACATGAATATAGGTTAGGAGGAGATGACTTAGCCAGCACACTGGCTGAAAGGGACCTCGGGGTTATGGTTGATCACAGTATGAACATGAGCTGCCAGTGCAATGCTGTAGTCAACACGGCTAATAGCATACTGGGATGCATTAGCCAATACGCAGTGAGCAGGGCTAAGGAAGTGATACTTCCTCTTTACTCGGCGTTGGTGAGACCCCAGCTGGAGTACTGTGTCCAGTTCTGGGCATCACACTTCAGAAAAGACATGGAGAATATTAAAAGGGTCCAGAGAAGGGCTTCAAATTGATTAAGGGCCTAGAGGACAAACCTTATGAGGAAGGGATCTGGGACTGTCCAGCTTGGGGAAGACAAGACTGAGGGGGAGTTGGTAGCCGTCTGTAGGTATGAAAGGGTGAATATCGGGATTTGGGAGAAAAACTGTTCACTAGGGCATCCCATGGGAAGACAAGGAGCAATGACTACAAACTGTTACGGGATGGTTTCAGGTTGGATGTAAGGAAGAACTTCTTTATGGTTAGGGTGACCAGAATCTGGAATAGACTTTCCAAGAAGATGGTGCAGTCCCCAGTCTTGGAAGTCTTCAAGAGGAGACTGGACAGACAACCTGCTGGGATCACTTGATCTCAATAGTATTCCTGCCCAGAGCAGGGGGGTTGTACTGGATGACCTTTTGAAGTCCCTTCCAGCCCTTAATTTCTATGATTTCTATGATCAGAGGTTTTCCAGACCACAGTTTTTGGATTTGCCAAATTCCTGCTTTAGGCACCTAAGTCTTTTATTAGATTTTAACTTTAAGCCTAGACTTTGTATAGTAGTCTCTAAATAGGTCCCCTGGCACACATTCACTTAAAGGTGCCATGGAATCTGATCAACAATCACACCTTCTGCCATGCCACTCATGTATGGCAGGAGGCACAATTTTGGGACTGGGGCCCAGTTCCCAATTGCACCCTTTCTACTTGCCAGTCCAAGAGGAGCCCAGGATTATGATCCAGGGCTTCCTTGCACCAGAAAATTGAAAGATCATTTCAGCTTGGTCCAGGGCTTTGTCTGGGACCAGCAATCAGCCAGTTGCTAGCTCTGATCCCCTGGACCACAACAGGGCCAGCTCAAGACCCCAGTACAGTCCTGTGGCTGAAACTGACTATCAACCCCAAGCTCAAACCTGTCATACATTCAATTTAAGATATGGTAAGAACCAGCCATTAAAATGTTCTATGATACATGTAGATCATTTTTATGGCTGGTTTACCATTTTATAGTGTTCACAATATGTGCTAACTTTAACAAAGCCTAACATTCTTTAGAGTTAGCACGTGCTAATTAGAAGCTGGCCCCACAGGCACACAGGAGAGGGTGATATGTGGGGCCAAGAAGATAAGTGCAAGGTAAAGGATATGTAGCTCTGATATACCCATTGTACTGGAAAGAAGCATCCCTGGGTTCTATTTTGCTCCTAATATTGCAAAAACATCCCCACTCTCCATTTCAGTCAGTGACTAGAATATGGATTTTGCAGTAGCCTTATCTTCTGGGGAAAGGCCTTACCACTGGAGAAAGGGCCTAAGCTGTGGCACAGTGGAAAGAGTACGCTGTTGGGAAGTGAGTTTTAAGTTCAAGCCCCTTCTGGATGAGAGGGCTTAGAACCCAGGCCTCCCACTTCCAGGTACAATTCCATAACTATTCAGAGAGGAACTAAAACACTGCGGGGGAGGGTCTTGTTCCTTTTCCCAGACTTAGGTTCAGTATATGCCTACGTGCATGACCAGTACATAAGCTACTGTACGTGCTCAACCTACAGTGAAGAAGTAGTGCCAAATGTCCAGGTATGCAGCTAGAAAACTACCATTTAGGTGCACAATGAGATGTAGAATTAATTCCACCCTCAGTAGCCTTACATTTGCAGTATTATCTCTCAGTTTTACTCCATATTTCTAGATCGAGTTCTCACCTTTACAATCTCAAGTCTTCTTAGAAAACCATCCAATCTTGTAAAAACTAAGTGAGACTGAAAGTCCCATTCTTTCATCTCTTGGTCAGGTTTAAAGTATATGTAGAGATTTTTCCTTCGTTCCTCAAATGTCTGCTTGAAGTGGTTCAATATGCCAAGCACCTCCTGCACTTTACCCAGACTTTCTTCTGTTTCTCCTTTCAAAATGTCTTCTGGGTTCAGGTAGTTCCGAGCCTACAGTGATAGAGTCAGAATTGAAGTTCACCTGCCCCAAGGGTCTATTTTGGGTTTGTTTGGGGTTTTTAATGCTGGATACATTTTAATAGATTTCTTGATCTAAATATTATTTAGAAAATACTTATACAGGGAAATGGTGAGGATTGAAGATAATGTTCATCTCTTATGAAGTTTTCCCAGACAAATCTCAAGATCTGGGAACTAAAAGCAGGGATACCATCCCACAGTTTCTGCCTGCCATGAATATTGCTGGACAAACTCAAATTTCTAACCTATTTGCACTCAAGTTCACAAAAGCTTGTGATGATCTCTATATATCTTATTTAGTTAGTCTATAAGGTACATATCTACCTTGCCTTCTATTTGCAGAGCTCATGATCTAAATCTGGTACAGGACACAGGAAAGGCTTTTCTAAGTAAGATTCTGACATGAAACATCTTGCTTTGCTTCAGGACTAAATACGCCACAGAAGATGGAAAGACAAACTCTACATAGCAACAGACCACAGAAGGGAGGTCCTTCCCCTAAGAATAAGGAGCAGCCTCTCTCCTAAGCTGCTAAATCCAGGAAGCTTGTGGAGATCCACAAGGCCACCTGAATTCTCCTCTTATCCCCTGTTTTGACTGCAGTCCTTCCCAGTTTCATATAATGAGCAAATTTGCTAAGGAAGGTCTTTTTTCCAGCATATTATTATTTTCCAAATAATTAATAAACATTTAAATAGCATTGTATGCAGGACAGACCCCTATGGAATGTCACACAAAACCTCCTTCCAATCTGACACTGATCCATTATAAGTACCCTTTGCTTATGGTCATTGAACCAATTATGTATCCATCTTGTATTGATTTTATCTAGCCCACATCTCTCCAATTTACTAATGAGAAGGTTATATGGAAATTTGTCAAAAGCCTTAAGAAAGTCCCAGTACACAATGTCCTCAGAATTCCCTCCATCTACCCAAGTAGTTCCTTCATCCACCTGACTAATTACTCTGTGAAAGAAGAAGATCAATTGGTTTGGTATAAATTATTCTTAACAAATATATACTGGCTGCTAGGGCTGTGCAAGGCTTCGGACAGAGCTTCGGATAAGAAGAAGCTTCGGACGCTTGGGGGTCCAAAGCAACATGTCCAGGTCAAAGCGCTGGCCTCGTTAGGCTTCCCAAAGCAGTTTAGAGCTTCCGAAGCGCTTCTGAGCCACCACGGAGCTGCCTCGGAGAGCCGGACATAGGGTATAATGGGGAAAACAATAAAATATCTATAACTTTATTGTTTTTTGTCCGATTTGGATGAAATTTTCAGGAGCAGTAGACTCTGCAGAGAGCATGAAGCCTGCCAAGTTTCAAGAAGATCAGTGCAGGGGTTTGGGGGAACTGCACCCCATATTCTTGAAAACAAAACTCCTGTCACGTCTATGTGTTACAACACAGGGGGGGGTCAAAACTGCAGGGCTGGTAGCTCTTGCTGAGGCCACAAAGCCTGCCAAATTTCAAGAAGATCAGTGCAGGGGTTTGGGGGGAACTGCCCCTCAAGCTGTGGACAAGCAAAACTCGTGCCATGAGCAACACTGCATGTGTTAAGGTGCAGCGGGGTGACAGCTGCAGGGATCGTGGCCCCTGCTGCAGCCACAAAGCTTGCCATCTGTCAAGGAGATCAGTGCAGGGGGTTCTGGAGCCCTGCACCCCTAGCTGCTAACAGACAAAACTCGTGACATGGGTGCTTGTGGAACTGACTGTCTCTGTCTTGGGGCATGGGAGACACTAGTGCAGGCTTGGCTCCTAAGCTACTGTGTTACCAGTTACCAATCACCAATCAACCATGATTCACTTAGGGACCAGCTCAATACACAGGACCTAGCTAATGTAGCCAGTTAATTGTGATCAATTAGCACCTACAAAACCAGGCTAAGGGGAGGAAATAATCAATACAGAAAATCAACTGCCCCAAGACAGACACAGTTAGTTGCACAAGCACCCATGGCACGAGTTTGCCTGTTAGCAGCTAGGGGTGCAGGGCCCCAGAACCCCCTGCACTGATCTCCTCGACAGCTGGCAGGCGTTGTGGCCTCAGCAGGGGCCACCATCCCTGCAGGGTCACCCTGCTGTGCCTTAAAACACACAGTGTCATCCATGTCACAAGTTTTGCTTGTCCACAGCTTGAGGTACAGTTTCCCCCAAACCCTTGCACCTATCTCCTTGAACTGTGGCAAGATTTGTGGCCTCAGTAAGAGCTATCACCCCTACAGTTTTGACCCCCCACAGTGTAACACATAGACGTGACAGGAGTTTTGCTTTCAAGAATCTGGGGTACAGTTCCCTCAAAACCTCTGCACCTATACCTTTGAAATTTGGCAGGCTTTGTGGCCTCACCAGGGTCCGTCACCCCTGGAGTTTTCACCCCCTGTGGTGTAACACACAACCGTGACATGAGTTTGGCTTTCAAGAATTTGGGGTACAGTTCCCCCCAAGCCCCTCCACCGATCTTCTTGAAACTTGGCAGGTTTCATGCTCTCAGCAGAGGCTACCATCCCTGCGAGTTTCATCCAAATCAGACCAAAAAACCTAAAGTTATAAATATTTAATTGATTCCCCCATTATACCCTATAGCCAGATCTCCTAGGCAGCTCCGAAGCTTCAGAGCCGCTTTGGCTGGATCAAGGCGGAAACCCGGTCCAGAGCTCTGGATTGGATCACTGCCATCCGAAGCGGACGGATCCAAAGCCGGATCGGATCGCTGTCGACTCGCACAGGCCTGCTGGCTGCTCATGATCAGCTTTTCCTACTCCAGATATTTACAATTTTTAAAATAATTTTCTCCAGTTATTTCCCAAGTAGTGAAGCCAGGCTCACCAGTCTATAATTCCCCAGGTTCTCCTATCTCTCTCTCTCTTTTTTCTTAAAGAATATGCACCACTATTTAGTCACACATACAACGTATGCATAATAGCAGCCAGGGTCTGCATGTAGGCCTCTAATGGATTTGTAGCAAACACAGGCACCTAAAAATGGAGTCAGCTAAAACCTGTGGCTACCAGCCCCAGGAACAGAAATGGGATGCATGTGTCCCTTTTTCAGCCACAGCTCAGCGGTTAGCACATTCATCCCAGGAAGCAGAAAGTCTTGGATTTTATGCCTGCCACACCCAAAGGGAACTTGAACCCAGATGTTTTTCAGCTTCCTACTAGAGCACTCTAACCATCTCACCAGACCAGCCAATGCTCAGACCTGTCTCTGCTGCTTCTTTTGAAAGCGAGCCACTAATGTAGTCACTGGAAAAATGGATATAGGGCAATGCAGGAAGAACTTTCTGCTTCACTGGGGACAATAACTCCAACTAGAATGCAGGCCCCCCTCCTATGCCATAAGCTACCTCACTGAGCCACTGGCTTATGCCTTTCCTCCTGGCCCCACATATCTCCCACATACCTTCCTAGTGTTGTTGGCCAGGTGGCCAGCTTCAAAAGGAGTGCCAAAGAAGACAAGGAATAATAGCTAACATTTGGTGCATTAGTTAAGAGTGCTATGTAGGAAAGCGAGGGTAGATTTGGGTTCAAATTCCCTCTGAGGGAATCCAGGTCCTCTCTCTTCCCAGGTGAGTGTCCCAGCCACTCAGCAATTCAAGGAAAAAAATGAGAGGTCTTTCACTCTCATTTTGTTGCCCAGTGTGGGTGCAATAACATAGTCATCCATGTATGCAGGGCTATATGTGCAAGAACAAAATTCTTCTGAGTGCATAAGTGCCAAAAATGCCCTGAAGATGATTAAAAAATGGTTACTTAGAAAATAGCATGGATACAACATACAAGCACTACAGGAAAAATAAGCTGGAGTGGCCTTAGTTAGGGTGGCCAAAGTCATGGGTTCAAAAACCCAAATAATCCCAATGGAAATCATGAAAGCTATAATACCTTGTTCAAGATGGAATGTTGTGAGCTGACTCCTAACATAAAAAATTCTATGTGCCCCCAGTGGGTTATGGTCATGGTTTAAAACATGTACTCAGCTTACCTGTTGAATCAGCAGGTTGCATATTTCTTGAAGCAGCACTATTATCCGTGCAGGTGTGTTGTAGTACTTAGATGTGGCCCAGATTAAACACACCACATGGAGCAAGGGGCTGACCAATGACTTCACCTCACTGAATTCCACACTTTCTATTTCCTCCAAGTGATGTTGAAGAGGTGTCAGATGCAGGTTAATATCCTGGGCCTCACTCAAAGCTGCATTAAAAAGTAGCACACAAGAAGTGATCAGCTTTTTATATTCCTGGCATGCAGAGATATTACACTGACCACAACTTCATTTCAGATTAACAGGCAGCAGCTGAATTTACAAAATAGGTATGACTGATTTCTTTAGAAGAGTCAACAGTAAAGGGAAACAAAAATAACACAATGACAACAAAAGATAATGATGGTCACTCTTTGGGATCATGAAAAGAAACCATCTTCCAGGTGTTTCTAGTACAAGTCTACCTAGTGTACAGGACACAGCAAACTGCCTTGTGAAGCAATTAGGTCTGCTACATACATAATATACCCTAAAACAGTGGTTACCAACCGGTCAATAGCAATCAACCAGTGGATCCCAGAGCCTCTTCAAGTTGATCCTGGGCTGGGGGGGGCTGAGCGCATGCATGCGTGTGTGCCTGCCCCCCCTGCCCAGCCCAGCAGGTCAGTCAGTGAGGGAAGGAAGCGACAGAGGCCCAGGGGCAAGTGCAGCAGGGGGAGGGGCAATCGAGGCCCCAGAGGTGAGGGAGTGGGGTAAGGCTGGAGCCTCAATCGGCCCAGTCCCCCACCCCCACAGGCCTCTTCCCCTCCCAGCCAGACTTACCTGCTGGGTGGTAGATCTTTGCTTCCTCTTAAATTCCAAAAGTGATCTCCAACCTAAAAAGGTTGGAGACCACTTCCCTAAAATATGTGAGTCATAACAGTTGTGTTCCTGAAGGTTACTAACCTAGGTTAATTTAGACCAAAGTTTGAAAAGGATTTGACTTGGCAGACTGAGTGTAACACAGAACTTACAGCTTCTGTTACTGAAAGAGAAAAAATAGAGGCAAACTGCACTCATGCAGCCAAGAGTGGGACTAGCTGTAAAGAGATAAGCAGCAAGACCCCTTAAATGAGAAATGCCTACTGCTGTTCTGGCATTTCTATTATTGGCAGTACAGCAATAGTACAATAGTACAGTAGGAGAGTAACCTGGGGAAGCTCCAAGAGAACTACTGCATTGCTAGCTCTGCTACTATAGACCATCCTGCAGGCTGGTAAGCCAAGCACATTACAGAGCACCCACAGACTGCTCGGGGAATCCCATGATGGAAGGGGGCAAGGCTCTAGCGGCATACAAAACCAGGTCTGAGTCAGAGCCAACAGTCTTGCCCTAGAGGCTAAAGGGAAAGTTGCTCTGCGGGGAGATGCCTGCTGGTGAGAGAGAGAGTTGTGGAAGAAACAGGCTTCACTCTATTGTTTGGTCACGAAGTTGTCAGAGACCTTTATTTACAAGCAGCTACTGGTGAGAGCACTGGACAGACAGAACTTCCTCTTATCAGTCCCGCATGCCCCCGCCAACAGACAATTGAAGCAAGCCTTTTATATGTTTCAATTCAGGTCACATGACACAAGGTATAACAAGTCAAAGAAAAACTGGTTTGAACCAGAAAGTTGCAAGACAGCATAGACTGTGATTTGATCTATTGACCTCATAGGTCTACTCAGCTCAACAAGGGAAAAAGGGCGGGAGAAAGAGCAGATTGCAAAATAGGCGGGGGAAAAGCAATCATTAGCAAATAGTGCACTAACTCAAGAAGTCAGTAGAAATTAAGGCCTGGGGTTTTCTTCTTCCACAGAGTGAGATCCTACTGTGCCTATTAAGCCACAAGTAGGGAACTGAGGGCTGGCAGGGGATTGCTACCAGTATGGATGATGCTTGTATTACAGTCAGTAGGCTTAGACAGTTAAGTTACTACGAGTGTGCTTATGTTTGTGGTTTGAGTTTAACCAGTGATTTGGGTGGGACCAGAAAGGGGAGAACAGAGATCCCAGTGGTGCCCAAGGAGCATGTGGCTGTCTTGAGTCCTGCCAGAGGGCAGGGGTTTGACTGCAGCAAGAGAGAGAGAAAAGCGTGGGAGAGGCAAAACAAGGGTCAAGGTCCCATAGTCCACAAGGGGTGGAAACAAGACTAGTGAGCCCACAGCCTAGAGAGGGACGGAGATTGGAGCTGGGGGCCCACAGCCTGGGCATGGCAAAGATAAGAGCCCAAGACAGCAAGCAAGGGCTGGAACCTGGGGATCCAGACCTGGTGTAATGGATCTAGGCCAAAGGGACTAGCCAGAGCAGTGGGGACAGAAGCTGAGAAGCCTGTGGCCCCAACAAGGAAGTAGAAGCCTAAGGTGTGGGAAAAGGTGCCCACCTAAGTGATGACTAGAAACACTTGCGAGGTACAGATGTTGCTGTAGGGGAGGTTTGGAGGCCTTGATTAGTCCATAAGGTAGTGAGTGCCCATGGGGCACACGCGGGCCAGGAGGGCCTATCTAGCGAGAAAGAGGGATTGGGAGCAGCAGGGTCCAAGAGGGATCTGCAAATGAAGAGAACATGTTATGGCATGCTCTAAGACTCTTCAGCAGACTCACTTTCAAAATTTCATTAATAATCATAGAAGGCACAACAATAAGATAAAGCCACAGCCGACAAGAGCAAAGGGTGCCTTAGCATGGTGCAGAGGTCATTTCACCACAGGGGGCAACGGCCGCCCCAGGCACTGGTCCTGTTACACTGGGCAAGAAAGGATCCACAAAAACCACTTGTGCAGGCCACAGACTTGGCTGCCAACTGAATCAAAATAATTAGCTGTATGGCAACAGGGCATAGTTCTCCACAAATCAACTTACTGCAGACAATGGTAAAACACTGGAATTTCTCCAGAATCTCAGATGCCAGGGCTTTATTCAAGTGTTTTAATCCAAAATGAATAACATTAGATATAGGGGACCTCTTTTACATTAAGTGATTCCAGATTCCTATTAAAAGAAAGGTAAATGTTAGAGGTGTACCAATAAAGATTTTTGGGGGCGATATCGGTGACCGATTATTGACCAGCCATATCGGCTGATGCTGATCTGATTGCCGGTATGCAAGCCAGCAGCTTGGAGAGTAGCATCTGGCTGGCAAATGTGTTGGGGGAAAGCGACATGGGGGAGGGAAGGGGCATGGGGGGAAGATCAAGCCCACTCGGGGAGGTGGGGAGTGGGGCTGGGTGTGGAATGGAGCTGTAACTTGTCTGGTGGGTATGGGGGCCTCGGAAGGGGGGCACGGCTCCCACTGCTGTGCGCACCCCCAGGGGAGACATGGGGGGCATGTGCCCCCCAGATCTGTGCGCAGGATGAGGGTGGGCTGCCACTGCAGGTTGGAGCTGGAGGCTGCACTAGGCTCTTCCTGGCAACTGTGCTCATGCTGGGCAGGGCAGGAGGCGGTGGCACTGGGAGGGAGGTACACGGGGGCTACAGCAAATTTTGGGGTGGCTCTAGCCCCACCACAACCTCTCCCCCAGCACCGCCACCACCCACCTCTACCTTGCCCAACCCCAGCACAGCCACCAGGAAGAGCCCAGAGCAGCCTCTGGCTTTAGCCTGCAGCAGCAGCCTATTATTGACTGGGTAACAGCGACCTACTGGGTGACAGCGACCACGAGCTGATCACCTTCACCATCCGCCGAAAAGCTGGCAACACGGAACACGGAAGTCCTTGACTTCAGCAACACGGAAGTCCTTGACTTCAGGAAAGCCGACTTTGACAAGCTCAGGAGGCTTGTCAGTGAGGCCCTAAGGGACCATGACCACGGGGAGAGGGGAGTTCAAGAAGAGTGGTTGCTCCTCAAGGGAGCGATCCTCAATGCACAAACTAAATCTATTCCATCTCGGAGGCAGGAGCAGCACGAGGGCACAGCAGCCCCCCTGGCTCTCCAAGGACCTAGCAGACCTCCTGAGGCTAAAAAGAAAGGCCTATAAAGGATGGAGGATGGGAGTCACCTCCAAGGAGGATTAATCTGCACTGGTCCAGTCCTGTAGGGAGCATACCAGGAAAGCCAAGGCTGCAACTGAACT